AGCTTCTATTACTTAAGCCAATGCTGCGCCTCCTCTGGGGCGACAGAACATTTTATGACTTATGACTTCTGTCACCACAAATTATTTTTGCATATTCTTGTGCATAAGTGGAATCATATGGTACATACACACACATTACATATGTGTGTGTGTATATATACACATAGCATTCTTTCACTCATTGTAGTGATTTTGAGTTTCATCTGTGTTGTGATATCAATAGTTTTTCCTTATTGCTAAAGAGTATTTTATTTTATAAATACAATACAGATTCTGCTGTTGATGGACATTTGGATTGTTTCCAGGTTTGGGCTATGAATAAAGCCATTGTGAACATTCCTGTGTAGGTCTTGTGTGGACGCATGTTTTCATTTCTCTTGAGGCAATGGTCTGAGAGAGAAATTACTGGGTCATAGAGTAGATTCTTTTTTTTAAGCTCAAGTGCTCTGTCCTAGTTTGGAGAGTGAACACAAACTTGTAGGCCAAGCCCCTGCCTCCCACTTTTACTGGGTAGGTGTAGCTAACAAGAGTCAAGTCATTAAGCAGGTCTGCATCAATTAATAACGATAATTGATGCTGAATGTAAATGATTTTTACTTTGAGCTGTTAGGTTTAATTCCATAAAATTACATGAAGCTGGTATATGATGAGGACTTTCGGATAAAAGCAAATTAGATACAGAGGTAGTTCCCATGTAATTTGATTCATGCTTGAGACATGACTAATACTTGATATGCCAAACTGGAAAACTGACTCGATGCACAATTCAAGTGGCCACCCATCAGGCTTTCTGACGGGTGACTCGATATTGAGTGGGCCTGGGCGACCTTATTTTGGAGGGTTACATGCATATTTCTTCCTTCGCTGCCCCTCTGCCTCCATTCTGATCATGCCTCCCACATCCCCTTGTAGGTCATACCGCAGCCAGGCTGTCGGTGTTCTGTGTGGGAGAACCTGTTCCAGTAGGTTGTGGAGGGGCCGCGGCTTCTGTATTTTAAAAACTCCGGGCGCTTCTGTTGGGCAACCCACCCGCTGTCTTAAGTCCAAGCCGTTCTGCCAGCCTTCTTAATTAGACCCAACTATCTCACAGTTCCCCAGCACACACTTTCTTTTTCAGCCAGGCCGGCCACCCTCCATCATCAGGTTTGGCATGTTTACCCCCTAGACTGCTCATACTGCTCCCCCCATCTAGAAGGCCCCACCTCATTTTCCTTTCGAAACCATGTCCAACTTTCAAGTGCTCTCCACCGGTTTTCGTTGATGTTCTATTCTTTTACAATGTTTCCATCTAATTACTTAGAATGACCACAGGCTTACTCATCTGTTGTTTCAGATGCCTTCTCTGTTTATCATATCAGACACCTTCTGTAGTCTCTCTCACGATGGTATGTAGCCAGGTCCTCAAAGGTGGGATCCAGATCAGCTTTTTGTATCTTTCTTCCTCCCTCTCAGCCCCCTAGGATCCAGCATAATGTTGGTTGTGTAATAGTCCCTAATTGGATACTTATTAATTGACTTTTACAAATTAATTTTATATCTGATTTGGAGACAGAGTTAGACGTATTACTTGGCTTCTGCGCTTTCAGAGTAATTATTGCCTTGATTTATATGGATTGCAAGTTCGTGCCTACTCCTTAATTATACAATGGCCTTGAGGTTAGAGTCCATGTTCATTTGCTTCAACAAACATTGATGGAGGATCCACTCTAGCAGGCCTTGAGTTGGGTGCTGATATTTTGAACTCTGTGTTCCTGTCTCCTGTAGACTTTCATGCACCTTATCTATACAGACGTTGTCATTGAATAATGGATACTGATATTCAGTGCATTGTAAGTGATCGATGTGCAGTATTTTTCTCTCCCTGTTTTATTAAGAAGAACGTTTTATTTTGTGGCTTGGATTTTTTTTTTTTTTTTTTAGTCTTTAAGCTGTCATTACTGTCATAAAAGAAATGCTTAACTGTCCCCATCATGCCCAGATACTCTGATGCGCTCCTTAAGGAACTCTTCACCAATTCATTTATATTTTCAGAGCTGAAATGGTCCCAGAATGAGCACTTAAGCGAAATGAAAAGGTTTGCTGCTGTAGGCTAGGGAGTTAGCTGATCGTTTTTGATTATTCTGTGCTGGTACCTCTGACACAGAGGGAAATTAATAGCATTATAAAGTATGGATCCCAATGGTAGTTTGCATGATATTTTCAGAAAAAGGATCATATGAGTTTTGCTAGATTTTGTGAATTGCTGAAGGGAAATGGGGGATTTTCTCTCAGAGCTTGCAAATATCTGCTGAATTTTTAAAAAATTTGTATTTATTTATTTTTAGAGAGAGGGGAAGGGAAGGAGAAAGGGAGAGAAACATCAACATGTAAGAAATACATCAGTCTGTTGCTTCTCACACGCCCCCAACTGGGGACCTGGCCTGCAACCCAGGCATGTGCTCTGACTGGGAATAGAACTGGTGACCTTTTAGTTCTCAGGCTAGAACTCAATTCACTGAGCCACACCAGCCATGGCTATCTGCTTATTTTAAATATCTCCTCTGGTCCCTTTCAATTTTCCAGTGGCAAGACTGTGATTTAGGTGCTTTTAACAGAAACACACAGTGCAGTTGGGTGTGTCTGTCAGGCAGAAACATTTCTGGAAATCGAGTTCTTGTACATAGGAGCCTTTTCCCTCCATTGAATTTTCACTGTGAAATCAAAATTAGAAAATTTTGATGAAAAATGTTATTAAAACATTTTAAAATTATATGATAAACTTATAATATTTACTTCTATATATTTTCAAATGGTATTATCAGTTTCTTTAAAAATTCCCCCCAAAGGTATGCACATATAGTTTAAAGAGTCAGGTGATTCTGCCAGGTTTATAACGGAAACCAGGAGTCTGCTGACCTTCCCCAGTCTTGACTCCTGCTTCTCAGGATAAATGGGGGCAGCTGTTTTAGCTGTTCCTTCAGATTTTTGTCTCCACATGTCTCAACTGTATGCTTATTTTGGCACTTTTTGACTTTTTCAGCTTTAAACATATCATGATTTTCTAGAGTGGAAGATGAAGATCTGGGTCTTTTATCCCTACTTGCATCCTATACTATGGATACATTATATTTTTTTAGGTTAGTACAGTAGTCACAGCTTCACAAGTGGAGTATTATTCAGCTATGAAAAAGAATGACATTCTGACACATGTTGCAACACAAATCAACCTCAAAAAGCATTATGCTAAGTAAAATAATCCAGACACAAAGGGACAAGTACTGTATGGTTTCACTTACATGAAATATCTAGAATAGGCAGATTCATAGAGATGGAGAGCAGACTAGGGGTTAACAGGAGCTGGGGAGAGGGGAGAACGGGGAGTTATTGCTTAATAGTCACAGAACTTTTGGGATGGTGAGAAATGTTTGGAAATAGTGGTGAGGGTTGTACAACATTCTGAATGTAATTAATTCCATTGAATTGTAGACTTCAAAATGGCAAATTGTATGTGATATATATATATATATATATATATATATATATATATATCCCTAATAAATAAGCTTTCTTTGGTGGTCTCATGGAGCTGAACTGATGAGACATTTTCATTCTTTTTGGGAGTGTTTGAAGCAGTTGCAATTTTCTAGGAGGGACGCTAAGACTTTTTCTGGGAGACTCTAGCCCAGAGTCAGTGACTGTGGATGTCAGCGTGTGTGGATGATGGCTGGCAGGAGGGAAGTCACTTTCTGTAGGGATTTGTTCTTTACTGTTACTTTTTTAATACTTGGTTCTGTCACTCTGTGTGTTATTTTGGAGATGGATGATGCAGATGTATTTTTTAAAGACAAGGCATAATTAAGTCATTTTTAGAAACCCATTCAACGTTTTACATGTCAGTAATGACTGTCGTTTGGTTACGACGGGTAGTGGGTGTACTCCAGCCAGGAAGATGCCACTGCATCTATTGGAGTAAATGACTGTGGAAGAGTGTTAAATTTGCTAAGTACTGAAGGATCTTTTATTAAATTGACCCCACTGAGATCTGGGTCTAGCTTCATTTTTCTCTTTTTTGCTTGCCTTTGTTCCCTCATTGAGGTGATTATGGTCCTGCTTGCTCAATTCCCTGAATGTGCCATTTATTGGCTATGTGACCTTGAGCAAATTATCTTATTACTTTGAGATTCAATTTCTTTATCTACAAATAGTAAGAGAAAACGATATCTACCTCTCAGGGTTTTTGTGATGATAAAATAAGATATCAAATGGTGAAACTTGCCTCCTGGAAATATTAGGTGATCGATAAATGTTAGTTCTCTTTTTCCTTTTTTAGAGATTCATAAATCGAGGAGACCAAGCTGACATTGACACCCTGGTTATCCTCACATATTTCAAAGGCTATCCCAAATCATGGAGGAAAGACATTCTTTGGTGCTCCAGAGAGCGGGCCTAGAGCTAACATATAAAAATGGAAGAGAGAGAGATTCCTGCTGAGTGTAAGGAAGACTTCTGTCTTATAATGCAGTGGCTGGTGCTCACCAAGCAACATGCCCTGGAAGTATTCAGTCAGAACAGGATTTCTCAACAGCATTATTGACTTTGGGGTCAGATAATTCTTTACTGTCAGAAGCTGCGCACTGTAGATGTTTACAAGCATCTCTGGCCTCTAGGCAATAGATGACCCTAGTGTGACAACCAAAAATGTCTCCGGACATTGCCAAATGTCCCCTGGAGGGCAAAATTGCCCCTGGTTGAGAACGATTGAAATAGAGGCTAGATGGCAGCAAACCAGACTTCATCCTCCAAGGTCAAGTCCAGTGTACCCCAGGTTGAGTTCTTACAACATTAATTCCAGGAATTCTGATGGTGGCTTTTTGGTTTGGGATGGTACCCACCATGGAGGACTGAAGGCCTAACATGTGAAATTGTACAGTTCAGTTTGGCCCGTAGAGAGCAGTGAAGCCCGTGCTTGGGAGGCCTTCTGTGGCTGATTTAATGCTTTGTTCCTCACTGTGGTTTTGCAGGTCATGTTAGCAGCCTCCTACTGGTCCCTCCTGGCCCCAGCAGTTGAAATGGCCACATCCTCTGGAGGCTTTGGTGCCTTTGCCTTCTTTCCTGTGGCTGTTGGCTTCACCCTCGGAGCTGCATTTGTCTACTTGGCCGACCTCGTGATGCCTCAGCTGGTGAGTGCCACACCTAAATGGGTTGGACCCATTCATGCCTCTGTTAAACAGCCAGCGATGTCGAAACAGGTCATTTAGGGCTTTTATGTAGAGGAATTGAATTTGACATTTTTCCTAAAAGGAAATAAGCTCTTGGTAATATGACTAATCATCCCCTTGGTTACGTTTTGCTAAGTTCAGATTTTAAATGTCAGACTTCATTATCAATGTGGAGTGCTGCTGACAATCCGCTGTGTGGTTCTGTGTACATGAATGGACTTAGAAACTGGGAGAAGGGAGTGATCCTGACCACGGCCCTGACTCGTAAGGAACTTAGGATGTCACCTGGGAGATGACAACACACCCAGTGATAGCGTAGACCATTGGCAAAGCACCCCACCAACAAGGGCTTGTTATAGGAGGGTGAGGTGCGGAGCCTGCTCAGCAGGGCTCTGGTTGGAGCTCACTTCTGCCATCCACTGGCTGTGTCCCTTAGTTCCATTTCTCCTTCCTATAACTTGAGGATAACTCCCTTTAGTGACTGCAAAGTCAAAATTAAAAAATCTGACAAGGCACCAGAGCAGGGCTGGTGGGTTGGGTTTGGGAAATGAGCATGTGCAAAGAAGCACAGCTGAAAGCCTGGCTGCAATCCCTAAACAGAGAGAGAGAGTCAAGGCCAGGCTGTGAGATTGTAACCGAAGGCCATTAGTGGCTAAAATGGGGTGGTCTGCATGTGCTGCCATCAGTAGAGAGGAATCAATGTCAGTGAGAACCCAGGGCAGGCACAGGGAGCCTGTCAGACACTGTGTGACCTGACAAGTCCTAGAGGTGAGCAGGAGCCACTGTGAGACTCAGCTGGTGCTTGAATTCTCTGCTGTCCCAGAGAGGGAGGAGGCATATAAGAGACCCCGTGAGGGACAGTGGGGGTCAAAAGCCATTTATTCTGTTGGATTGGGGTGATTAAGGATTGGGTCAGGCTCATTGGACTCAGCTGGACAGGTACCCTGGGAGGGAGGCTGATGTTCTCGTCCCTGTCTGCCTTCTTTCTTGCCTGAAATTCCCAATTGGAGAAAGAGAGGAAAGAATTCCTGGGAACTTGGCCCCCGGGCTGATGAGAAACTGATGACTCGTGTCGTAGAAGGTCCATTCTCGGGACCAGGCAGCTGGATGCGATTGTTGGATGGGGAGCCATGACATGGTCTTGGAGGAAAAACCATAATGTCATTTTTTTTCCCATCAAAATCTTGAAGAGCTGTCAGTTTCTGTCTCCCGGACCCTAGGCTTCCTTGCTGTGAAATATATCTGTGTACTAATAGCTTTGCGTGGTCTTCAATGTGGGCTGCTGTGCTGTGCTCTCAAATCCCCCTGGGGACCGTGTGAACTTGCTACTGGCAGGAAGATCTTGTGGGTCACTGGCCTTGCCTCCCAACCAGCAGGCAGAGGCTGGCTCAGCAGCTCTTTAAGCCCCTGCTGGGTCTCATTCTGCCTCTCCACCTGGACCCTGCTGGGCTTCTAGGACAGTCTCTTGCAGAGAGCTCTTTGCAGCCATGAGGGGTCACCACTCACTGGTACTGGGGGGCGTGCAGGAGGGCAGGTGTATTTGATCAGCTATCTGAGTGTTGGGGCTTTCTCTGGGCGGTGCAAGTATTCCCTGGCCAGTTTGTTCTGGACAGCAGCGCCTCTCTCTTCAACCCTTTTGTTTTGTGCTTGTTCTCATGCATGCTTTGACTATGAAGATGATCCCAGGGGAAAGTCTTCGATAGACTGTAAAGAAGATTAGGAATGATTTGGAAATGGTGGGTGAACATCTAAAGAGAGAATGAAAGGGTCTGAAAGGTCGAATTAACCATTAATGCCCAGAACCTCACTAATTGGCAGAAAGATCAGCCTGAAAGTAAATCTTTATTCTAGGCCATTTGAAAAGACATTAATTCATGCTGTTGATATGAGAAGGGGAGTTTGTCTTGGAGGGTCTTATAAATAGATAAGAATTATTTATAATTGCTATAGTCACTGAATACAAATGTTGCCGTTGAAGAGGAGCCCTGCAAACAGCCTGGCCACCATTACTCTGAGACAGAGTAAAGGTTTCCCTTCCGGGCAGCAGCCTGGATGTATGGAAGGTGCTTCATGAAGTGAGTTAGTGAGTTTTGATCTTGAGTCTGCATGGTGGTCCAGCACTGATGGAGCACCCATGGGAATGTAGTCCTTAGGGGCTAGAATTTGGTTTCAGAATGCTCACTGTTATGGGATTTTATGAGGCAGTGGCTTTGCAGGCTATGGGGAGTTCTGCAAGCAAATCAGCTTGAGATCATTTCATTTTCTGGTTCATTCCACCTTACGATAAAGCCCCACTGTTCAGCAGATGGCTCGTGGACAGGAGGGAATTGTGAGAGCAGAAGGCTTCGGCTGGAGCCCTGACCAAGGGGACCCTAGGATAAAGGAGGGACTGCCTACAGAACCTCTTTTCTGTCCTCTGGGATGGTAGCACCCGGAGTTTGACGGGTGAGAGGAAGCAAGTCCGTCTCTGAGTTACTTCCCTGGAGAAATGGGCAACGAGGAAGTCCAGTAGGGCAGAGGTGTGGCGGGAGGGATTCTGCAGCAACGCCTGACTTGAGCCCATGCTCTTGGCTATTCGAACACCAGTGGCACTGCCTGCCAACCCTGGAGCCGCTCACACTGAGTATCTGTAGATTCAGAACTCAAAGGGCAGCAAGCCTCTTTGGTTGGTGGGAAGGAAATGGTTAACGAGGGACTCTGTTCTCTGACTCCATTGCCCTTCATTCAGATGCATTTGACCCCCTTTTGGAGCTGAAGCAAAATATAGCTCATGAAAAGGGTTTTACTCCTCATAGCCTGTTCGGTTGAAGGTACTGTAGCTTCGTTAACTTTGGATGCATCAAATGTCTCCGCAAACTGGGCATTGGTTTTTATTTACTTATCTGGGAATGGAGTGGAGAAGGCTCATGCAGTGACAACTGGTGGGGAATGAACTGCCAGGGATCTACCAAATGCTGTCATTATGAAAGGGGAAGGGGGAGGAGGTGGGCAGGGAGGGTGCAACCTGCTTGGCCTGGGAATGGGGCTGGCAAGAGGCCAGGTGATGGTGGATGAGGTGTGGGCCAGCCTAAGCCCCGTGTCCCTCCCTTAGGATGGCCTGAGGGAGAAATAGAATGGATGTTGAATAGCTATTGATGTTGACATTTTGACATTTTTATGACAAATATGACAAAGATACTGACATTTTTATGGTCTTTGTAGGTTTGCTTCTCTGTGAAGTTAAAGAGGGCAGTGGGTGGGAAGCGTCCACCTTCAGTTTAAAGGAGGAATTTTCTACTGGTGGGTAGAAGGGTAGGGTGGGGAAGGAGGGTCAGGTATGTGTCCCCAAGGGCTCTTGTCCTCCTTTTTGGTCATATCAGTAATTACATCAATACGATACAAAAATCTTGTTCTAAAGTAAAAAAAAAAAAAGTGAAAATGGCTTCCTGTTATAGACTGTGTCTTCCCAAAATTCATATATTGAACCTAATCTCCAAGGTGATGGTATTGGGAGGTGGGCCTTTTGGAGGTGAGCAGGTCACGAGGGTGGAGCCCTCATGAATGGGATTAGTGCCCTTTAAAAGAGCCCCGAGAGCTCCCTTCCGCCATGTGAAGACAAAGCAAGAAGACACCGTCTGTTAACCAGGAAGGAAGCCCTCATTAGGCACTGAATCTGCCAGTTTTTATCTTCGTCCACAGAATTGTGAGAAATAAATTTCTGTTGTTTGTAAGCCACCCAGACTGTGGTAATTTGTTGTGACAGTCCTGATGGATTGAGACACTTTCCTATTCCCATGCTCTCCCCAGGCTAACCAGTCTGCTGTTATCATCAGTTTAGTGGGTATTCTCCAGGTTTTTTTCTTCTTTTTTTTCTTTAAGAAAATGAATTATGTATGTTTTTTACATATTGAAATATAAACGCTTTCCCCATTTGCCTATATTGTTTGAGTGCGCTTTAAACCAACTCCATAGCAATACAAGCCCTGACTTGTGTAGCTCTCTCTTCTTTTTACTTATGTATGTGCATGCACACATTTTACACAGTTGGAATCAGGCTGTGCCTTCTCCAGTGTGTTATTTTTAAATTTGAAATGCTTTTTAAGGGCAGTGATTTTAATGCATATACAGCACCCAACCATCTTAATGTCATTTGCCAGACAGTTTCCCTGTCATTGCATAGTTTGAGTGCTCTGTGCTTTTCCGTATGTATATATGTACATGTGGAAATGTAATTGTTTTGTATTTTCCTCAGAACAAATGGTAACACACTGTCTGTGTTGTTGCTACGTGCTGTTTTCAGCCTGCTTTACATCCCAGCAGTCCGCTCCCTGGAAGATGTGTGTTCCTCACCCCTACCCCGCCCTCTCTTGGGGTTTGACATCTTGAGGCGGCTGCCCTAGTCTGTAGGGGGCTGGGAAGGGAGTGGGCATCTGTGACTCTGTCTGAGATTCTCCCATGTGAGAGAGCATGGCTGGTAGTCCTGCCTATACAGGCTCTCGGGGACTTTAGTGAGCAGTAGGGGTACTGCCTTCTCCTCAGTGCTCTCCTTAATTTATCTGTGTCTCCACCCTATTCAGTTTCTCCTAGTTTTCTCCACGATAGCAAAGAAGATACCTCTGATGAAAAGTTAAACGAGTGGTATGTGTATGTACTTTTAATATGCACCTAACTTTTGCTGGTGTTAGTCTGGGTTGGCTGGATTTGCTAGGAGGGGCCACATATTACAAGTAGGGAGGTGACAGATGTCACAGGAAGTGATTAATTCACTCCCTGGAGTGGGGTTTGTACATTTTAATGAGAAAGAGACAGCAGAGTCTATAGCGTGAGCCTGATATTGTCAAATAAGCCCAACTATCTATAGTGGAAGCTGGCCCTCTGCCTCGGTTTTAGCGTTTCCTACTTTCTTAGGGTTTGTTGAGGTTTGAGATACACAGTTCTCCTTCCTCCCGTTGGGTGCATCCTGGGATTGATCAATGCTGGCG